CTTTGCTCCCTTCCTCCTGATGAACCGGCTCCCTAGATAGCCCTTTAACCTCAGCCAGGAAAAAAAGGAGGAAGAGGTGCAAAGTGGCAGAATACAGCCCCGAGTCAGGACATTTCAGAGGCAGCAGCCAGCATAACCCCCGTCGAGACTTGCTTCCACTCAGGGACCTAAATATATATACGTTTAAGGAAACCGGGTTGCGTTTGCAAGACAGGTGCTTTTTGTTGTGGTGGCGGCTGTGAGGCAGATGAAAGTTTGGTGTTGTTTTGATGTGATTCTTGATTGCTGCCTGTTGGAGTAATTGCATCGCAATTGCTCAGAGGTAGAATCAATTTCCCCAAATTGAGATTTTAATGGGAGCTTGCAAGCTGCTGTTATGTCATGTGGTTTAAGGCGGCGTTGGATTGCATTTATTTTATAAATTGGATACTTTTGCAAATGGTTTAGGGATAACAGCACCACCCAGCGGGAATGAGAGCCCCGAGCTGTACTTAATCCGGGAGGAAGCACATGTGCCTGTCTGAAAGCTGCTCCCTGTTCAGAAACACCTACCGCAGCAATCCGGTGTCATTTGCTGAAATGCCTACAGAGGTGCTGGATTCAAGATTTTTTGCTATGGCTTTTTCCCATAACAAGGAATGTCTCTTTCCGAGGAGGTATTCAGGCAAATGTTTAAAATCGGCTGATGACACTGTCATCAGGGTCCTTAGCATTTTGTAACTGAGAGGACAGGAAAGGCGTCATGTGATCGATTATATTTCTGGCCATTGCTGTCAGGAATCGACACAAGGGGATGGGGGCAAGGTGATAGGGATTCAGAGAGCTTTTTCCATAGGATTCTTCAAACTCCCCTTCCTCAATGTGCTCAAGACCTAGATTTGCAAACCCTTGCTGTTCCCCCCCCCCCCCCCCCTCCCCCTTTACTCTACTTCCCATCAAATGAAGAGACACCAGAGATGTCCTTAGCTGACCTGTTTGGTTGGAGAGGGGGAGAAAGAGGCAGCTATGTTTGCATTTTTCTCAAAACACAAGCAATTTTTAAAAGCAGCAGAGAAAGATGTGTAGCTGTCCTGCTACACAAACTGCTTTCTGTCTCTGCTGATAAACATACAGGTCTCTGTGATTTTTCTGCGCTACTTATTTTTGGCAGTTCAGATTTATCCGTCCTTTCTGCTGAGCTGGCATTTGGCCATTCAAACGTGCTCTTGGGCACCTCCCAGCCCACATGTTTTTTTGTTTTTTTGTTTTTTTAACATGGGAGCCCAGACGTGAAGAACAGAGACTAAAGAGATGATGCTTGGTATTTACTCCTAGGAGGATACTGGGCCAAGAAGACCAGCTCCTTGCAGAGAGCGAAATCCTCAGAAGAAGAGTCCCAGCCAGTCCTCCCGACCTGCAGGACAAGGGACGGCTACAGGCTCCTTTGCCTGAGAGCCGAGTCTCACTCCACAAGGCGCTGTGAGCAAGCGAAAGGGAGAGAAAGTAATGAAATACCAGCAGCCAAAAAAGTTGACACGATGAACTCAATGTTTGTCTGAAAATACCACTTTGTTGTTTTGCTTGCTGACACGAGTGAGAGTGGAGGTTTTCCACTGTCCAATCTTTCCTGCCCCTTGTTCAGCCTGACCAGTTTTGAGCATTTAGACGTGACTTTTATGGCTGGCTGTTTGGAGCGGGCACTGTAAAGAGACAGCCCAAAGCAGGGTTACCCACAGCAGCTTTATTTAGGGAAGCTTTTAATCAATCACTGTCTGCGGATGGAAAGTTGCAGGTCAGAAAAACACTATTTTTTTTTATTGCTGTTGCAAAGCTGTATTTTCTTATACCTTTGACCCAATGGCCTCTCTTCAAGTAGCCACATCGGTGAGTCTAATGTTCACAGAGCCAGCTGTGGGCAGGTTCGTTACCTGAAACAGTGAACTGGCTTCTCTGCACTTTGCTACGCAGTAGTTGGTCTGCCTTCAAAGCCCAGCTCCAAGCCATCACCTTCACCTGCCCCATTAAGTTACTGCAAAAGTTACGTGTAGGGCACTAATGAGCCCCCTGACGGATACCTTCCCTATCCAGGCTGTGTCGTGCAGGAAGATAGGTTAGTAGGGAAGCTTTTTTAGACACTTACTGAGCAGTTTCAAGGTGCGCAAAAACACTCAGGAGCATAAAGCTGGTATCTGACAACTACGGGAGAGTTTCTGCTCATGCAGAGAAAACTGTAAAATGGTAAATAATTGAATGATGAGTAAAAGGAAGGTCTTTAAAATGAGCTGCAATGTTTTCCGGTATCATACACGTGAGGTGTGGCTGTTACTGCCAAAAGGTGAAGGATTTTTTTTTCCTTCTTCTTCTTGTTTAGAAGCTTTTTCTTTAATATGGGAATCTTTCAGAGCACAGGTGTTTGGTTTTTCTTCCATGAGCATTTTGGAACCACTTGTCAGACCTCCCTGGAGAATAATTTAGGGTTTTCCACTCCAAATAGCAAGTGTTTTTCCTTTCTTCCTTCTTTAAGGAGTGGTCTGCTTTTTGCTGTTTAAACCAAACACTAATATAAATCATTGCAGAATATTTCAGGATTATCCTCCTGCACTGGCGAGCACTGTTTATTCTGGCCAGGCCAGGAACAGAGTTCATCTAAACTCTTCATCCCGAGGAACATCAAATACAGATGACCACTGTTCAAATCAGTTCTTCATTTTAGCAGCACACCTTTGACAGGGCCTGGTTATGTTTGACTTTGCTTGAACCTTCAGCGAAAAAAGTGATCTCTTGCCAGATTTATAGCTGGACACAACAACTAAACAAAACAGCAGAATGAGGAAGGTGGGGTGAGAGGGGAGCAACGTCAACAGCAAGGAACAAATATCTGCTAATCTGACACCCAGTGTGGTACTTGGTATTTTGTAATCAGTTTTGAACTAGACTCAGCAACCAGATAACCTTTTTCCCTAC